CTCGGAAGGCTGAGGTGGAAGGATAGCTGGAGCCCAGCAGGTCGAGGCTGCGGTGGCCGGGAGCGGCCACTGCACTCCAGTCTGGGCAACCGAGTGAGACTCCAACTCAAAAAAAAAAGAAAAAGAAACAAAATCATTCTTTCCAAATTTTCATCATACAAATATACAGCTCTCAATTAACACTTTTAGGGTTTAAAGTGCAAATGAGAGTGAGTAGTAGGGTGCAGTGGCTCACGCCTGTAATCCCAGCACTTTGGGAGGCGGAGGTGAGAGGATTGCCTGAGCTCAGGGGTTTGAGACCAGCCTGGGCAATTTGGAGAGACCTTGTCTCTACAATAAATCAAAAAATTAGAAGGGCGTGGTGGCATGCACCTATAATTCCAGCTACTTGTAAGGTTGAGGTGGAAGGATCACCTGAGCTCAGCAGGTCAAGACAGCAGTGATTGCGAGCATGTCACTGCATTCCGGCTGGGTGACAGAGACTCCAATTCAAAAAAAAAAAAAAAAAAAAAGGAAGTAGATACTCTTAAAATTTATCTGATTAAGTTTTGATAAAAATAAAATGGAAGAGATAACAGTTGCAGTCATGTCGCCCAGACTGGAGTGCAGTGGCCATTCCCGGTCACCGCAGCCTCAACCTGCTGGGCTCCGGCGATCCTTCCGCCTCAGCCTTCCCAGTAGCCGGAATTACAGGCGCGCACTACCACGCCTGGCTGATTTTTTGATTTATTGTAGAGATGAGGTCTCGCTGCCCAGGCGGGTCTCGAACCTGTGGGCTCAGGCGATCCACTCACCTCAGCCTCCCAAAGGCGCGGGATTACAGGCTGAGCCACCGAGCCCGGCTTCACCTCCTTTCTTAAGTGCTGAGATTACAGGCATGAGTCACTGCACCCGGCCAACTATACTTCTTTTAAAACAAGCTGTGCCCAGCTTGTAATCCCAGCACTTTGGGAGCCCGTAGATTAGAGACCAGCCTGGACGACTTGGCAAGACCTCATCTCTACAATAAATCAAAAATATTAGCCGGGTGTGGTAGTGCGCACCTGTAGCTCTGGCTACTTGGAAGGCTGAGTCAGAAGGATTACTGGAGCCCAGAAGGTCGACGCTGGGGTGGCTGTGAGTGTGCCACTGCACTCCAGCCTGGGCGACAGAGTGACTCCAACTCAAAAAAATTTCAATTTCTGTACTAATTGCTTCAAAGACAAAAAATGTTTGTAGAAGGCCTTCTTTTGCAGTCATGAAACTGCGTGCATGTGCCAGGGTACCACTCTACCGCCCAAGCTGGAGTGCAATTGCAGGCTGGAGGCAAATCACAGCCTTGACCTCCTGGGCTCAGGTGACCCTTCTGGCTCAGTACCTCCACCCCAGTAGCTGGGGCTATTGAAGCACACTACCACGCCTGGCTAATTTTTAAATTTTTGTAGAAACAAGGTCCCTTTGTTGTCCAGGCTGGTCTCGAACTCCTGGGCTCAAGCAATCCTCTCACCTCAGCTTCCCAAAGTGCAGGGATTACAGGCACGAGCCACAGCACTCAGTTGCAGTCATGAAACTTTATATGGTACATTTATCATCAGTTTCCTTGAGTCATTAACTTTTCTCCCTGGAACTTTTCCATCGGAGAGGGCATCTTCAGACAGGGACACAGCATAGCACCAAAGGGAAAAACTGCAGTGTAGTGTATGTTTACAAAAAACTTAATGTGGCCAGACACAGTGGCTCATGCCTGTAATCCCAGCACTTCGCAAGATGGAGCCAAGAGGATTACCTGAGCCCACGGATTCAAGACCACCCTGGGTAACATGGTGAGACCTCATCTCTAAAATAAATAAAAAAATTAGCTGGGCATGGTGGTGCACATCTGTGGTTCTAGCTACTTGAAAGGCTGAGGTGGAAGGAATGCCCGAGCCCAGCAGGTCAAGGCTGCAGTAGATGTGATCGTGCCACTGCACACCAGCTGGGCAACAGAGTGAGATGCCAATTCAAAACAAACAAACAAATAACTTAATGTGAAGAAAACAGTGATTGTTAACTTTTCCCCAAAACTGCTTTTAGAAAAAGTACACATATATGAAAGCATTTCAAACTTGTTAATTTAGCATTTGATGCGAAGTAGGGAATACTTGCAATTTACAAAACAAAGGAGAGAAAACAGCTGATAAGTCATGGAAAGGTCCTTCACAGAAAAATAAACTTAGTTTTGGTTTTTTGGTTTTATTTTTTGAGTCAGAGTCTCACTTCATCGCCCAGACTGGAGTGCAGTGGCACGCTCACGGCCACCCCAGCATCAACCTGATGGGCTCAGGCAATCCTTCCACCTCAGCCTTCCAAGTAACCCGAACTACAGGCACACACTACCACACCCAGCTAATTTTTTTATTTATTGTAGAGATAAGGTCTCACCAAGTTGCACAGGCTGGCCTCGAACCCGTGGGCTCAGGCCATCCTCTCACCTTGGCCTTCCAAAGTGCTGGGATTACACACTTGAGCCACCGCGCCCGACCTGTTTTTTTGGTGTTTCTTTAAAAAAGGAAGCAAAAGGAGGGCTTGACAAGAAACATGTCCCCATCTCATTTCACAATCCATCAGTGACACCAAAAGGGAGTGTCTGTTCACCAGGGTTTTAATTGCTCAATCAAGATGGTGTCATTTAGATTGGCTGGAGATGGTTTGTTTTGCAAAGGCTCTTACTTTGAGACTCTCCGAGCACTACCCCCAAAGGATCACAGATCACAGTACACTATTTCATTATTTCCTGGGAGGAAAGTGAGAGCTGAGTTCCGATCTACCTTTACATTTTGTTTTCTAAGCTCTGTTTCTATTCTTCTGAATCAGCAACCTACTTTGATGTTCCAAAAGTATTAGGAAGACGATAGCATTAATAAAAACACAAGGAGAACCAAGACCACACATATAAAATCATACTTATTATGCTAAAGAACAAATTTTATTTTTAATTTCCCCAAACACTAAAATAGCACACAGCATAGTAATTTAGCACACAATAAAAACTGATATATGCAACCAATAATTCCCCAAATTATCAATATAACAAAAAGAGTTACCTCAGAAAAATGTTAGTGTAAAAGATACCTCAATTCCTAGAGCCTGGAACTTTCTATAAGGGAAATCTTTGATTTGCCTCTCTGTAACTGAGCTACATCAAATAGCCTCAAACTCCTTTTAGTTTAAGGTAACACTGCTAGGGTTCCCAGTTTGAGGAAGGATTATTCTAAAAGTAAGTTTAGTATTGCAACTTTCACCATAGGGCCTCAGTCTAAATTACATTTCAAGTAGAAGGAAAGGGATGTGAGAAAGAAAACCAAATTTGTTGCAGACTAAAACCACTCGACAAAATGCAGAAACTGTAACAGCGTACCATGAACTCAGCAAAGCTCAACACAAGAAAGGTGGGATAGACTTCACAAACATTAGGTGATCAGAGTCAAGCTGAAGAGACACACAGGATTTGGGACAGTAGCCCTTTAATGGGTGTTGAAGATAAATAGAGAGCTTCATGTTAAATCAGTTCTAATCTGATTATTTATACAGGTTATTATCAATGTTCCTCTGAAACAGTTTCCCAGTTCTGAATGTTTTTGAAGCACAATGTAAAACATGCTAAAAAATTTCCTTCAGCATTAACCAGCTTTTTCTGAGTTTAAACCAGACTTTTTAAGTTTGTCTGAGCATACATACCAAAGCAAGAACTTAAGAGTTGCATGGTTTGTATCCAGACTTAATGCAAAAGCAATCTGAGACAACTTTTAAAATTAATCTCACTATTTTTATTCTGTTTGTACCTTAACTACGGCATAACAGATTTGCTAATTCAAAAGATCATAGAGCTAGTAACCCCAGCGTGATCTGCAGACCATTTGTGGTACTTTTTACACTTGAAAGCATATTCTTGTATTCTATTGTTTTTCCGAAAAACATAGGCTTTAAAAAGTCCAGGAAACCACGTTTTGGCTCATCATTTAGAAGTACTTCAGGACCTGCAGGCAGCATTGCAGGCAGTATGGAGAGCAGGCAAGATGGTTCCAACTCAGAGCCTAGTCCTTCAGGAAAATCACTTGGTGGGTCATCCTTAAAAATCTCCATTTCTGACAGTTTTTGATGGCATGGCAGTCCTGACACCTGAGGCTCTCCTTTGGGCCACTGTCCTGTGTGGCTGTCCGTGGCCCTGCGCTGTTTTCCTAGCCAGTCCCTTCCTAGAGCTTGCATACCATGGGACACCCCAGAAAAACACTCTGCTGTAGGAGCACAGAGCAGACTCATGGCCTTGCTTGGAGCAGCTGCTGAAGCTGAAATTCTTCTTATTGATTCATTCAAATATGGAAGCACTTTATTGTCATTGTGGAGCAAGAGGTCAGCTGCACTCAGATCGTTTTTCATTTCCAATGATAACACCTCATTCTGTGAATTTCCATTTACAACAACCGCAGGCTTATTCATCCAGGAAGGTGTATCTGCTGAACAAGGGCTCTCCTTCTGTGTTCTTTTCTTAAGGCTATATAATAGTTTGTCCGAGTCACCTCCTCCCTCCCACTTCACTTTTGCCAGGCAGGTGTGGAGAGGCCCTCTTGTGTCCCTCATGCTTTGTGTTCTTGAATGCGGTGAGCCTGTGGTCACGCCTTCGTCTGTCAGGGGAGGGCCTTCAATGGATCTCAATATGAACCTAGAAAAGACAACCAAACTAAAGTTCACAATTAAGACAGAGGTTCCGAGGAGCATCAAACACTCACCAAATGGTTCCTAACAAATACCAAGATCTCTCTGACAGTCTCAGGTACCAATGAGTCCTACACTATAATAAAAAACAGAATGATAACCTACTCATTAGAGATTGCAAAAAGAGCAATACTTTATTAGTGCAGTATTTCCTAAAAATAAGAAAAACAAATTAAGAGGCTCTGTGCTTTTCACCAATATGGTTCTTTGCATAAGTTCAATAAAAATCTGTCCTCCTTTTAACCAGGATATAATTGGATGACTTGATTATGTAACCCAGCCTTAACTGAAGTGTCCTATTTGAGCATGATTCTCAAGGACTCAGGCATGACAAGCCACTTTTAGGGAATGAAGATTGACTTTAATAATCAATCTGATGTCTAAACTCTCTTCCCCAAAAGACAGCCTGGAAGGGTTCTGGCAAACCAGATCCTAGACTTCAGGTGGTTCTAAAGGTGGTCACTTGCTAGCAGGCCAAGGAACTCAGCAAATTTGGAAATAATTCGCCCAAACTTATAAGATACTGCTGGTAAAAGTATGGTGGAGAGGTCAGCAGTGGTATCTCATGCCTGTAATCCCAACGCATTGGGAAGTCGAGGCAGGAGGATCACTTGAGGCCAGTGATCGAGACAAGCATGGACAACAAACATAGCAAGAACCCATCTATACCAAAAAAATAAAAAGTCAAAAAAGTTTTTTCGGCTTAGCTCCCCACCCTCAGGTTAGCAATAATAGAGGCTTTGCTTTTTCCTTTTTGAGTCAGGGTCTCACTGTCACCCAGACCGGAGTACAGTGGTACAATCACGGCTTACTGTAGCCTTGAACTCCTGGGCTCAAGCAATCCTCCTGCCTAAGCCTCCTGAGTAGCTAGGACTACAGGCACACAATACCACACCCAGCTAATTTTCAAAAATTTTTTCATAGAGATGAGGTCTCACTATATTGCCCAGGCTGGTTTTAAACTCCTGGGATCAGGCTGGGCGCGATGGCTCTTGCTTGTAATCCCAGCAACTTTGGGAGGCTGGGGCGAGAGGATTGCCTGATCTCAGGGGTGCAAGACCAGCCTGGGCAACTTAAAAAAAATAAAAACTCCTGGAATCCAGTGATCCTCCACCTTAGCCTCCCAATGTGCTGGGATTATAGACGTGAGCCACCGTACTCCACTAATAGAGGTTTTTCATTTTTCTTTTTTCTTTAAGCTAGAGACTCACTCTGTTGCCCAGGCTAGAGTGCAGTGGCACACTCACAGTCACCACAGCCTCAACCTGCTGAGCTTAGGCGATCTTTCCACTTCAGCCTTCCAAGTAGCAGGAACTACAGACGCAAGCCACCACGCCCGGTTAATTTTTGTGATTTATTGTAGAGAAGAGGTCTTGCCAAGTTGCCCAGGCTGGTCTTGAACCCGTGGGCTCAGGCAATCCTCTCGCCTTGGTCTCCCAAAGTCCTGGGATTATAGGCTGAGCCACCATGCCCAGCCATAGAGGCTTTTAAAAGCCCAATCTGAGAATCCTCATGACAATTAATGGACAGTTGTTCGATTCTGTATGGCTCTAGGTTGCAAGAACAACCTCGAGGTGGCCTAGATGGGTAATTCACACTCTTGCTGCATCTACAAACCTTAGGAGACCAGCCTTTTTCTGTGATCAAGAATAATCTGGCCAGGCGCAGTGGCTCACACTGTAATTCCAACACTTTAGAAGGCCAAGGAGGAAGGATTGCTTAAGCCCAGGAGTTCACGATCAGCCTAGATAACATAGCAATACTTCATCTCTACAAAAAATAAAAATAAAAAAAGTAGCCAAGCTTGGCAGCTCACGCCTGTAGTCCTAGCTACTTGGGAGGCTGAGGAGGAAGGATTGCCTGAGCCTAGGAAGTCAGGGCTGTGGAAAGCCATAATCATGTCACTGCATTCCAGCCTGGGCAACAGAGTGAGACCCCAACTCAAAAGAGAAAAGAAAAAGAATAATCTGTTTATGATATTATTGTGTCAAATGGGAAAGATGTCAGAAAAAAAAAAACTGTGAAAAGCTTTGAAATGAGCTGTTTGTAGACAAAGTTCCAAAGACAGCAAACTTTTGTTAAAAAAAAAAAAAAGGAAGAAGAAAAGCTTTGAAATGAACAAAAAAAGATGATTGGGTGCGCTACCTAGTACATCCATCTGGGTAATCTAATTTCATGGAGGCCTGTACCTTTCATTGTCTTTGCACTGCTTTATAATGCTATAAACTGCCAAAAATTTTAATAAGAATAAGGCAGGTGAGTTTCCTGTCCAAAGACATGAAGATTAAGTTTGTCTCATTAAATGCAATAAATTACTGCCCTATGGATATTAACTATTTGTTAAAATCACTTTAGTGTGTGTGTTGTCTGAATTATTCTTCACATTGGTTGTAACATTTTACTAGTTCCCTCATTAATTGATGTGTCAAATAAAACTTTTGACAGGTCCTGTGTTCACTTAAAAAATCACAAGCCCAGAACATCAATAAATGGAAAAGAAACATATATATATACATTATATTCAGTAATTTTTCTAAGAGACTAGCCAATGGTACAGCAATCGAACTAAAATACAATGACTCTACTGGGAAGGAGGAGGGTTGGAAATGTGGGTACATAAAACAGCAAAAGAGAACTAACCCCACTATCTTTCAAAGTGAGAAGACAAACGACAAAGCCTAAAAAAATTAAAAATGAAGAAGCAACACTATACAAGCATGCAATTTAGAGCTACAGAAGCAAACACTGAGAGCCAGCTACAGCTAAAAGAGGTTGGCAATGGGAGGAAGAAATGGCCGATAGGAAACTGTTGCTTCTCTGAATGAATGTTATGGAGCTAGGAGACTTTTGAAGTTATATGGATGTATAACTGCATTAATTTTTTTTAATTTATGAGTACACTGGGAAAAAATAAAGCAAGTAAATATTATTGGAGGCTGATGGAGAAAGCAAGGAGAGTGGAGATGATGAGGGGCACTGATCACGGTCACAAGGAGCTTGGACTTCATTCAGGAGGTGATGGGAGCCAGTCAAGAAGCTTTAGCAAGGATGCGATGCCTGGATTAGCATTTCAGATTAGTTATTCGGGCTGCATGGTGGTAGACAGACTGGAGAAGAGTCACAATCGGCAGTTAGAAGGTGAGTCCAACCATGCAGGAAAAAGATGAAGAATAAGGCTACAGTAGCAAGGAGGAGAGAGAGAGATTGAGGTGTTTTTTGGGTTTTTTTGTTTTTGTTTTTGAGTTGGAGTCTCACTCTGTTGCCCAGACTGGAGTGCAGTGGCCGCTCCCGGCCACCGCAGCCTCGACCTGCTGGGGCTCTGGCGATCCTTCCGCCTCAGCTTGTTTTTTTTTTTTAAGTTAGATGTATAAGAAGGTGAGATGACTCACAGGTTTTTTTTCTGTCTTTCAATTCTGGTTGTCATTTACTGAATATGGGAGGAGGAACAGGTCTGGATGGAAGTTCAGATTGGTACATAGAGAGTTTGACTTTGAGACATTGGCAAGTAGCTGAATTAATAAAATCTTTAGCTTGAGAGAGATGTCAGAGCTGGAGACCTGGATCTAGAATTACCAGCTTCTGAGAGGTAGATAAAATTATGGCCCTGGCATAACACATCAAGAGAGAAGACAGAAAGAAGGTACAGGAATACAAAGATAGGAAGACCAGACAGGGAAGAGCCCACCAAAGACACTAAGGAGGAAGACTCAGAACACATCAGGAAAATTCAGCACCCTAGAAGCCAGCTGAGTTGAGTGTTTCAAAAGGAAGAGATTGGGCCAGGTGCAGTGACTCACACCTATAATCCCATACTTTGGGAGGCCGAGGTGAGAGGACTGCCTGGGCCCATGGATTTGAGACGAGCCTGGGCAATTTGGTGAGACCGCATCTCTACAATAAAATCAAAAAATGATCCAGGTGTGGTAGCACGCCTGTAGTTCCAGCTACTTGAAAGGCTGAGGTGGAAGGATCACCTGAACTCAGGAGGTCGACACTAGAGTGGCTGTGAGCATGCTGGACTCCAGCCTGGGAGACAGACTCCAACTCAAAAAAAAAAAAACCAGCCAGGCGTGGTGGCACATGCCTGTAATTCCAGCTACTGGAAGGTTGAAGCAGAAGCATCACCTGAGCCCAGCAGGTCAAGGCTGGGGTGGCCAGGAGTGTGCCACTGAGCTCCATCCTGGGCCTCAGAGTGAGAACTCCAACTCAAAAAAAAAAAAAAAAAAAAAGAAGAGATTGATTAGATACATTTCTAAGACAAACAACTCAGTTAGCTATAGGGAAACTCTGAGAATCCTCAATCTTCTAGTCCAGAAGTTGTCAAAATGGGGTGACCCTCCCCCCCAACTCAAGGAGCATGGGAGTAGAATGTCTTGGTCTATGTCATTTTTATCCCTTCTCCTTTTTAAGTTTTTCTATGTTTTATAATATATACCATAATTAGATAGAGTAAAATATATAGTTTATAAATACTTATGTATCTTGTAGGCCATGCTCAAAAATCTTTATTGATGAAAAGTGACCATTAATCTATATAATTGAGCCGGGCTCGGTGGCTCAGCCTGTAATCCCGCGCCTTGGGAGGCTGAGGTGAGTGGATTGTCTGAGCCCGCGGGTTCGAGACCCACCTGGGCAACTTGGCGAGACCTCATCTCTACAATAAATCAAAAATCAGCCGCGCGTGGTAGCACGCACCTGTAGTTCCAGCTACTTGGAAGGCTGAGGCGGAAAGATTGCTGGAGCCCAGCAGGTTGAGGCTGCGGTGGCCGGGAGCGGCCACTGCACTCCAGTCTGGGCAACAGAGTGAGACTCTGACTCAAAAAAAAAAAAAAATCTATATAATTAATAAAAATATATTTGAAGCATATAAAGTAATATAAGAATGTAAATAAAGCGTTAATTACTATAAGTATGGATTCCAGCTTTAT